TCCCGAGCAATCTCAACAGTATCCCAAAAATCATTCTCATTACGATCCTCTCCATCAAAAACTTCGTGTTCACCCTCGATGACATTTTTCTTCAACAAACTTACGCAAATAGGAGTCGTCTTTCGACCTTGGTTCAATTGAATTAGATGCTTTATTTGCGCTTCAGAAGTAACTTTCAAAGGTGGAATCGAAATTGTTGAATGCTTTTGAAATAAAAATTCCAATTCCATATCGTACTGAGAGGAATCGACGTTAAGCATGTTTTATATTTCACTGTACATTTCTGTAAACGAAGTATTTTTTGTTATCGAAATAGCAGCAACCCCTTCTCCTTCACTCGTCCATTTTCATTCTCATTGACCATTTTCTTTCCTTTAAAATTCGCCGAAATAACAGATTGGGACACACACTTTTGCCATATCTGCATTACGAATTAAAAATATCAGAACAAATTATCAGAAATAAAATTATCAGAATCGAGGGGCGGGGGAGTCTGCAAACGGACGGTCGGGACGATCCGGACCGTCGTTAAATCCGGCGTTCCGGCGTCTGATCGGTGCCGGCCTGAACTTTGGCTCTAATATTATTTTTTCTACCATTTAAAAAAAATATACGACTTCAATAAAAATAAAATTAAATACTACGAAAAGATACTTACCGAATTGAAGTGCTGAAATTTAACTAAATTTTTCTGTTGAGGTTGATAACTGATAAGTTTATGAAATTTTGAGGTTGAAGTGGATGAAAAATGGAAGAGTTTTTATCGTGTTAGAGTAAACTGGTGAAAAGACTGACTTCGTTTTCAAATTTCAATTGAGCCTTGTTTGGATTTTTATTTGTAACTTAAGGATATTTTTGTCTTTTTACCATATTTCTATTTTTGTAATTATATAACTCATTTAAGGGCGTTTTTGTCTTTTACACAAGAAATGGCTATTGTGGTGAATGTTAGATTTTTATGGTTAAAATGGAAAATGGTTGGTTTGACAAAGCCAAACTTAAAAGTACCACGTTGTCTTCCATGTTACTGTAGAATAAGTAACTTTTCAAACTTATTAAAAAAAAGAAAAAAGAAAAAGTAACTTACTCAAATATGTCAACAAAAACAACTTCACAACCCTGTTTTGATGAAATTCATAATTTCAATACAAAAAATTGATTTATTTTTATTCACAACATAAAAATTAAAAAGAACTTCACCGTTTGCTTGAAACTCCTTCATTGTTCTCTCACAATCCTTAAACTAAAATAGCTGCACTAATTGAGCTCCAAAGCATTGTTTTTGGAGGTATTAACCCAACGTCGTATCCGAGGAAAGAAGATGATAAAAGCGAGAAAAACAGCTAAAAGAGAAACAAGAAGAAACAGCATAATTTTTCCATGAAAAGCGAATTCTCGATCATTTACTGGTGAAAAACAAGGAGCCATAGGAGGTGATACTGGAGAGCAAGTCATTAAAACTTGTTCACTCTCCGTTTTTGAAATGTTCTACTTCCGTACTTATGATGGATCTCTGCGGCATAAATTGAAAGAAAAAAGAGAGCATCAAAGAGAAGAGTAAGGTATGGAGATTGCAATTTAGGGCCAGCCATAGAATTGCATTCGAATGAGACCTTTATAGAAGTGGTCACAAATTGGGACCCTTGTCTGCATGGATAGAGGAAACTGCCAAAGAAGTTATAGAAGTGCTGTGTACAGAAGTCAGAATTTTCACAGAAGGCACATGATAGCATCTAGTTAAAGAATGGTTAAAAAAAAAAATATCAACCAGATGTTGTCACATCGGCATTTG